CTCTCTCTCTCTCTCTCTCTCTCCCTCCCTCCCTCCCTCCCTCCCTCTCTTTTTGAAGGCAGAGGACAAGACTTCTCCTTCATTTATGCATTTGTCTTAATCCTGCTTCCAGATGATAAGCCCAGCATTTTAAGTGTTGAGCCATCGCGTTACCCTTTATGTGTCAACTCAAAAAAATATCTCTCTGGTCTTTTAGAGTTGCCAACAGAAAGGGAGGGGGGAGTGGTGTAGCAGCTTGCAAAATCGAAACTGCAGGTGACCGAAGTTTCCAGCTGACCGAAGTTTCTGCCGTGCAAAATTCTAACTGGAGAGTATGATTGATGACTCTTGGCTATGTATGTGTCCCATTGGAGAATATGAATTATGATACACCCAGGGGGTGGGGGTGGGGAAACCAGGGCCCAGGGTGACAATGAATGATGTGTCTCAGAGTCGACTACACCCAGGCAGCGCTGGCATGTCTTCTAATAATAAATCTTTTTTTAAGCTTGGAAAATCCGGCTACGGACTCATGATTTAAATGGGGGTAACTACCAGAGCCTTGACATGTTTATTATTTAGAAATTTTATGTTGCCGCCTACTTGCACATGGCGACTCAAGGCAGCTTACAAGGAAATAAAAACACAATATCAAAGAAAGCAAAAGAAAAAAATAACACACACCCCCGCCCAACTCTCCCATCCAGGTGAAAACACACATTCATACTAGCCATTTAATGAGCTCCATCCCACTCTGGGTTCCCTAACCCACTGGCAGAACATTTTGAGGACCTTCCAAAATAGTGTTAAAAGAGTGGAAGCCAGTCTAATTTCTGGAGGGGTGATATTCCAGAGAGAGGGAGCCACCATGGAGAAGGCCCTACTTCTGGCTCCTGCCGGATGTATCTCTTTAGGGGCTGGGACCTGCGACATTCCTTGCCTTCCCGCTGTAGTGGGTCGAGTAGATGTGACTGGCAAGAGACAGTCCTCCAGGTGCCCATCATAAAGAGGATATAAAAATATAAAACAGTGGCCTGCTGTATTGGACCTCTGGACAATCTAATCCAGCAATCTTGTCTCACAATGGCCCGCCAACCACCCAAGGAAGTCCACTATTCTCCCAGCAGATGGCTTTCAGAGGCAGTCATACGGGTCATCAAGGCTAATAACCATAGATATCCATGAATTGGTCCAGCTTTTTTGAACCCAGCCAAGCTGGTAGCCAGCGTCACATCTCATCAGGCTTTCTAATACTAGCTGGTCTTTCAGGTGGAGGAGCCATGGATGGAAATGGTTACAGTGCATCCCAAAGAAAGAGGAGATCCGTTGAGTTCCTCTCAAGATCTGCTCTTTGGGAAGGTCTTTCAGGACAACCCAGCTTGGGTCACTTCATCAGGTAAGAGAAGGTCTTTTCTGAAGGCAGTGAGACTGATCTTCTTTCGCACCAAATCTTAGGTTTGTGCATGAAGATGGCTTTTTTATATAGCGCTTCCTAAGAGCTTATTCGTAAGACTTGAAAACAGTCTGTTTTCCCCCCATTTTTCTCTTGTTCACAGGGAATGGAGAGGCATTCATCCCCGAGACGTCTCCCCTTTGTAATGGAGCAGAAACAACAGCTATGCCCTCAGTTCAGGTAGGGGAAGCTTCATCAGAGAATGGAACCATATGTGGGGCCCAGGCTCAGATTATGGCCAGTTCTTTAGCAAGATGGAATGTCTTGCTCTTCTCATGTCACACTCACACATCTTGGTTTGCTATACAGCAGGGGTGTCAAACTCATGGCCCATGGCCATGCGCTGGCCATGCCCACCCTCGTTTTAGCAAAGGGGGCGAAAGTCATGATACGTCACATGATGACACAAGTTTGACACCACTGGGGTTGGTGTGAAAATACAAAATCCAGTATCTAAGTCGGGTGTTAAAAAAAAAAATGCTTTTGCATTTTATGGAAGTATTCCAAAACAGTTAAGAATGGAATGAGTGAAGTAAAAGCATAGCACAGAAACTACTACAAGTATAGGAGAAATGGTAATGGTAATGATATGAAATAGAGATCTCCATGTAAATATCCTCCCAATCGCGAAGTAAATAATTCTATACAATAAAAACGTTTCAGTCCACACTATAAAGAAAAAGATTTCGGAGAAGTCACGTAGGATCCAAGCTTGCCTCCAAGATAACAATACAGGAGAACGTTTATAGCTCAATGATGCTACCCAGTTTGAGTAACGAAATGTCTGCAAGAAAACAGCCAAGCTCAGAGAGCACCATTGTCTCCAAGAATTTGAATAGTTACAGGGGGGGGAAATCCTATATGTTTGTGTGTGTTGTTTAAAGTCCCTGCAGTTTGCTTACCAGGCAGGCAGAAATGAGGCATACTGCTCCCTAAGCATTCTGAGCCAGTGGTAAGGGGACCTCCAAAG